ACCCCCGAACAAACCATTCCATGTGCAGCCATTATACTTCTCCAACAAAAACTCGGCCAGTTCCCTATAGTGACATCAATAAAAGAAGTATTAGGGTAATAACGCGCCTTATATATTCTTGCTGCTAAAGTACTGGGATTCGTAAGGAAACGCCATGCCTGTTTCCCCAGTATAGCCAAATTAAAAGCTCGTAGATTTTTAAATCCCAAGCCACCATACTTCTTAGGGATGCATAATTTATCCCAAGCCTTCCAATGTATCTTTCTTTCAGTACCAGTTCCCCACCAATACCTATTCATGGTTCTCTCAATAGATGTGCAAACCGTTTCAGGTAGCAAAAATACACTCAGGGAAAATGTTGGCATAGATTGAGCCACACTTTTCAAGAGTACCTCCTTACCAGCCTGAATGAGCAACTTTTTACTCCACGAACCAATTCTTTGTCTGATCTTGTCCTCCACATAGGAAAAAAACAACCCTCTTATTCCTGCCCACAAAAGATGGTAAGCCCAAGACACGCTGCCACCCCCCCCCCCCCCCCCCCTTATTCCATCATGAGTGTTCTTGCTAAAACATATACTGGACTTGTCATAATTCACTTTTTGACCAGATAACTTTTCATACCGTTGCAAACACTGTCTGATTACACCTGCTTCCTGGATATTAGCTTTGAAGAATAACAGACTGTCATCTGCGAAAAAAAAGATGGGAAACTGGGGGTGCACCTCTTGCCACCCTACAACCATGTATAACGCCCTCCATTTGCGCCTTCTGTAATAGCATGGACAGTCCTTCTGCACATATAATAAACAAATAGGGAGATAGGGGATCCCCTTGTCTGAGCCCGTGGGTAGGTGTTACCTGTCCTCCAGCCACGCCATTCACCATTATCGTATAGTTTACGGTTGTGACACAGAGCATAATAAGTTTCACTCAGCGCTGATCAAACCCCAGGGCACACAACATTTTCTGCAGAAAAGGCCATTCCATCCTGTCATACGCCTTAGACATGTCAAGTTTTAGAGCACTCCATCCTGTTAACCCATATTGCTTTCTATTCAAGTAATTACCCACCTCCGCTGCAACCAGGATATTATCCGTGATTAGGCGTCCTGGAATAAACGCACTTTGGTATTCCGAAATCAGCTCCCCCATAAGTGGTTTCATCCTATTCGTTATCATTTTGGCCATTACCCTGTATATAACATTACTGAGAGCAATCGGTCTCATATCCGCCACCGTCTCCGGCACATTCTTCTTTGGGATTAATACAACATTAGTATCATTTAAGCCCTCAGGAAAATTGCATGAATTCAAACAGGTTGTTATAAACTCAGACACATTCCCCCCTACCACATCCCAGAAATGCTGATAAAAGCCTGGATTCATTCCATCCGGCCCAGGTGCTTTGTCATGATACATGGAGTTAATTGCTTCTTTCACATCTTCTGGTCCAAACGGACGCAATAAAGATTCATTTTGATCATGAGATATTCGTGGCATAATATCATCAAATAAAACATCATCACAAGCAGAATTCTCAGTTGCATAAATATTCTGAAAATAGTCTAGTATGACAGAGCACATATTATTCCCTTCCACCCATATGCCAACATTATTCTTAATTCTACTCACAGTATTCTTTTTTTATGAGCAGAGGCATACCTGTGGTAGAATCTCGTATTCGCATCTGCACCACGAAGCCAATGCTGCTTTGCTCGTTGTCTCCAGAATATATCCTCCTGCGCTTCCAACTAGGCTAAGAGTACATCGATCTGATGAAATTCGGCCAATGCGGCCGGGTCCCTCAATAATCCTCTGTCTCTTTCTCAACTGCCCAATTCGCTCTCCAAATTTATGAAAGCTCTCACCGCCCCACCTCCTCAACCTCTCCCCACACTGCCGCTGACAATTCAGCAACCCCTCAACCCTCCCACCCTGCCAGGCCGACACCACCACATCCCTACACCCCTCATCATGGAACCATGCCATCTCAAACCTAAAACCCCTCGAAACCCTTCCCCTACGCATGCATGGCGCATCCGTATTAAGGAAAAGAGCCGAGTGATCCGAGGGTCGAGCTATAATATTTTCCACCTCCACATTCTCATTCAGACCACACCAGTCAGCCGCGACCAAAACCTTATCAAGCCTCTCCTCAATCCAGTTCTCCGTTCCTCTACTCTTCTCCCAGGTAAACTGATGGCCCCTCATAGGTAACTGCATTAGTCCACAACCATCTAGAGTCTCACCAAAGCTCCGTAGGAGATTATCCGGATATGGATTTCCCCCTCTCTTCTCATACTGGAACAGGAGATTATTAAAATCTCCTATGACCACCCAAGGCAACGAGGATCTAGCCTTCAAAGTATCTAATAATTCCCAGGACTCCCACCTCCTATTACGATCCGAATGTCCATAAAAACATGTCATACGCCACTGCTTACCACTCTCGGTCCTTACCTCCACATCCACATGATTCTTAGAAAAGCTCAACAAACTGGCCGTATTATTCCTCCTCCAGAACAGAGCAAGACCACCACTCAACCCGTCATTATCCACATAAAATAATCCTTCATACCTAAGCGTGACACAGAGTCTCTCCGCATGTGTCCGTGCCACCATGGTTTCCATTAAGAACACAAACTCAGGCTTCTTACGGGACACTATGTCCACCACCTGTCGAACTGTTCGTGGATTGCCCAAGCCACGACAGTTCCAACTTAACGTACTCATGAGGATGGGCGGGGCTGAGAACCAGCTCCCACCATACACAAGTTTTTTGACACATCATTCATTGCAACATCACCATCCTCCAAGTCAAAACGCCCTTGCTGCCCATGCCTGCGACGTTTCTCGGTTGCCACCACAACTCCACCACTCGGCAATACCCCTACCGAGGATCCACCACCACCCCGGCTTCCCGTCGCTCTCCCCTCGACTCCCTCCACACTGTCCGGTTGGGTAACCGGCATCGGTAACGGCTTCCCTCCCACCGGAATTAGCCAACTCCGACCCACCTCCCTCGGGGCGCCCCGGCTGCCTCCTGCCCTCAAATCAGCCCCATACGGATAACTTTCAACCGGAATGCGACTCTCCCGGGCCTTCAAACAAAATGTATGAACATGTCCCATGAGTCCACAATAGAAACAGAATTTGTGGAGCCGTTTATACTTAAAGGTTACCCAACACGCGCAATCGAGACCCAAATACGATAGAATGTTAACCAGGGGGCACCAACAAACCTTTCATCATGCTTAACAAACGTACCAATAAAATTAACTGCTTGCTCAAGAACTTTCTGCTACGTGTATCCCATTGGTAATTCATGCAATTGAACCCACATATCAATAGTATCGAGTGGCACATCACACGGGCTCACCCCCCCCCCCCCCCCCCCCCCCCCCCCAACTTCTCGACACACAAGGGTGTTATTTTCAAACGCCCACGGCCCCCCATCGAAGACATACTCCACATCCATTTTGTGATAGGACACAAAAAGAAATAGGCCCAGTTGAATCTCAGTTACCTGTACACCCCTGACTGGCTGCCATACGGATGCCATCACTTGCCGCATATATTCAAGTTTAACCATCTTCGCCGTGAGAAAACGCCCCACGACCGCCCAAGAGGCCTCCCCGTCAACCACCACCTCCCCTACGCCATCACCGTTCGGCACGAACTCCTCCCCCTCCTCTTCTAAAGCCATGTCGACCCAACTCGCCGTCAGCCGCTCAACTACCTCATCCGACTGCGCTGCTGCTGCCATACCGTTGTGCTGCTTAGCCATCTCGTCAGAAAACACCGGCAATAACCGGACGAAGTAGCAAAAAAGCGTGAGAAACCCTAGAGAAGAAGGCAAAACCCTAGGACTCCTAGAGAGAGATTATTATTATTCTACCAGCTTGTACTACTTAGATTAGTTAATCAACACGAATTAAGAATTTAAGATGAAATACGGACTGCATTAAACATGATTCCTAAGTATTTGATATAGCAATTTTAAAAGCATAGTTTAAAAAAAAAAAAAAACTTTTTGGTTATTTAATTTAATAAATTTAATTTATTATGTAATAAATTTATTAATATATTTATTAAAATTTTAATAACAAAATTAAACAAAACAAAAAAAAACAATATTAAAGAGGACCTTACGAACAAACTTCATTATATATTTTTAATCGTTATACACTGCAGCACGGCGCACACAGTATTGTGCGCCTCGCGCCTCTCAAAACGACGTCGTTTTGTTAAGTTGTGTAGGAAGTTGATGCGATTATGTACATTATGCATGGTATACAATTATATACATTTATTTATATAATTATGTGTATTTTTTTTTATACAATTATGTACATTTTTTTATACAATTATGTACATCCGAAACAAGGAATTTATGTTTATTATGTTAAAAGTTTTTGTGTATTATGTATTATGTTAGATTATATGTATTATCTTTTCAAAAACTGTATGTGTATTTTGTTATACAATTATGTACATTCTAGTATGCAATTATGTACATTTTAGTATACAATTATGTGCATTTTTGAAACATGAGATTTTTTTTTATAGAAAATTAACAATCGACACATGAAGCGGAATTCTAAAAAAAAAAAATAAAAAAATTCCAAAATGATGTCGTTTTGCACTAGGGTGCACAATGCAATGCGCGCCCTGGTGCACGATATAAATTGCCATATATTTTATTCTACATCACCTATGAAACAATTCAAACAAAAGAGTAGCCTTGAGTAGCTCAGATTATCAGCGTAGCCCACCGAGTTTCAGGTTAATCTGCTCAAGCCATTAGAATTGTCTGATTTTGCCTAATCGGGTTGATTTGTTATCTAACTAATTTCTTTTAATCTACCTTAACTATCACATATTTTCATCTAATGAGTTGAGCTAATATTGACATCCCTAATCATATTTAATCACATATATAACGTGCAATTTTGTAACAAAATAATGAAGTCACAATCACTTCTAAAAAATTAGTATTGGAAACCGTAAACAAACTTATAAATTACTTGCAATACATATACATTTTCACATTATATGGTATAAACATTTGAGAACACACTAATTAACCACAAGCAAATCACATATATTACAAAATACTTGGAAAGGGAGAATTCTTTAGGGATTGGATTGACTTCTTGGGTCTTATTTAGTTAATAATAACTTATTTTATAAGTTATTATGCTTTTAGTCGTAACCAATCCAAATAAGATCCATTTGAGTGATCCAGTGACACACCTCTCCTTTTCCAGGAGATAACTTAAGTAGCTTGAAGGCGACATGTTTTGGTGTCCAACCCGAGGTATCCATGTGACAAATTACAAGGAATTTGTTCATTGTACCCATTTTCTTAGGGTTAGCCACATCCACATCATAGATTCTTGTAGAAGGCAACTTATAACAGTAATAGGTGGCAAAGGGGAAGAATATCTCATGGCATGCAATAATCTTATTAGTCTTATAAGGCTTAACATTCCCAATCATGACCACTTGATTTCCCATGCCTTTTGTGTAATCTGATGTCAATGCGGCCAAATGTTTTCCGCCTAAATTTTCTCGAGAAAACTGAATCATGTCCTCTAGGGTCTTTAGACAGCTACCTCTCTCTCCCTTCACTGCCGGAGCATTGCAATAGCCAAGACTCTTGTCCATGGCGGCCTTCGTCAAAGGAATCGAGAACGCGGTGGGGAATATTCTCTGTAACTCGCTCGCATTGAGAGGAATGTTTCTAGCTATTTCAGGAGGAAGAAAAGAGCGGTTAGGGAGTTGACTATCTAGATGAGACGGCATAGTTACTTTATGCCCTTTCTTCAGGACAAGAAGTCTAAAGAAAGACGAAGGGTCAACTTTTCCAGTGAAACCAAAATTATATATTTTAACTCCGGGAGGTGGTGGGTTGACAACAGCCGAGCAAACCAAATTAGCAGTGGTGCAGAATTTGGGATTTGACGAGAAATATTTTTGGGATATTAATGGAGTGAACACCTCCGTTTCGCTCTCAGAAAGCGGGGATAATTTAGAGAGAATAGACTTAGGCATGTTGCCATCTACATTTTGAGACCAGAATTTGGATTGTTGAGAAGCAGCAGATGATGAGGAAAGAGCATAAGAGACAACAAGTACTGAGAGGGAAAGGTTGAAAAAGAGAAATAGTACAGAAGCCATGCTTGTTAGTGTAATGCTCACTAATCGACTCCTTGTGTTGAAATTCTCAATGCTTGTGAAGGCTTTAAATAGACTACTAAATAGTCTTTTCCCACTAATATATATAATTATGTGCTGACAAAAGTTTTGCCTCATCATCTATGTCTTAAAGTCTTTTTTTTTTAATATCTTTTTCAATTTTAAAGTTCCAACTTCCAAGTGCTTGTCCGTTTTGTTATTTATTTATTTTTTTTTTCAAGTGATAAATTTCAAATACATTCATATGTATTTTTTTTTTTTTTTTGAAAGCCATTAGAGATAATAATAGCTGATTCAATTTGACAAATTGAAATGGAAACAATCTATTATATTAAATTTTATAAATATGTATCATCTTTTATTATTTTTTACTAGCTAACACACACACACAATCCTTCCAATAGCCAAATGCCATCACGGATTGGGCATCCTGTTCCCTTAGTTCGGGAACCTTCTCGGTCAAGAATCTCGCCAAGCCGAGAGTTGCCAGGTAGAATAACATCTTTTGTTGCCACCTCTTGAAGTTCGATCCACTACCGGTGAACTTCTCCGGTCTTTCGGCCGAACCACTCGGTACGGAAGGTACCCGAGTCATGGGAATATATCCCTCAGTGCTCCCACCATCTTGTGAACCAACGTTCACTGGTGTAGCTTGGGAATTAGCAACATTGTTGCCATTCCCACCATTGTTGTTCTCAACAACATTCTCCTCCCCATGAATTGGCAAAACGGGGTTCTCCATTTCTTCAAGGAAATTTAGAGATAAACAATCAACAGGAAACGAGAATAAGGTTTTAAGATTGTTGGGTAATAAAGTGGAAAATCCCAAAATAATAATCCTACGGAAAGATTATTAATATATGGGGAAAAAAGAAAAAATTGGGAAGGAAAAGATGGAAAAACAGGGTAGAGGCCGGTTAGCACGAGTTTGAACACAAAGTTCTTTTCCTTAAAACCTTATTTGCTACCTCCCACAAGTGGTAAGAACGTTTTAGCCTAGCTTTCCAAGATAAAACGTGCTACGATTCTTTGTTTAAGCACCTAAACAAAGAACCCAGCAAACAAAGCAAGGCAAGAACACTGGTTGGCTAAAGAAGAGAGTAGAAGCAGAGTTTTGAGAAGCTAAACTCACTGGAATTCCTTTGTTTCTGTAGTGTGTAAAATGCTTCTGCCCTACCTCTCTTTCTATAGGGCTGTTGGAGGGATAGCATTCATCATGACCATTAAATTGGTATTAAAACCAATTGTGTAACACCTGTAACAGCCACCCACTAAGTAGGATTAAACTCAGATTTAAAATTAGAATTAAAACAGTATTAATTCCGTAACAGGTGAGTTTAATCTTCACAACAGGCTGAACTTTCGGGTTTCAGACCGTTGTGGTGCATGTTCACTTTCAAGACACGAGAGCACAAGGACCAGCATCACGAGAGTGCATCTCTCGTGCTGTGGTGCAACCCGAGAGTGCACCTCTCGTGTTCACCGTTGCACGATAGTTGTGCTCTCGGTGCACCACTATCTCTCGTGCTCTCGGTTTCGGCCGAACCAAGTGACTATATGCCAATTTCCGGACGACATTCGTGCCAGCGCACACGAGCTCGGGCTTAAAACAAGCCTTTTCGATCTCGTTTCTAATTGGAATTTGATTTGCACCGCCCCCCACCCCACGCGAGAGAACCTCTATGTTATAGAATTCTACAAGCTTCAAAAGAGTTCTTGTATATAAGGGGGGCAAATCCACTTTTCAAACCAATGTGGGACAAAGCTCACTTTTTCCCTTCATTTTCCAACTCAAATGGGTCTACTTTTAGAATCAATATCTCATTCACCCATTATCCGTTTTGAGCGTACAATATATCAATCTCTTTGTCTCACTACGAAGAACCCGAATTCACTTTGACCCGACCCAAATCAGAAGTGGACCATACTGATAATTGTACCACAATATAGCCACTTAATATGCCATTTTATGTCATTTTAAGCTATTTTTTTCTAACAATCCCCCACATGAATGAAAATTGATTTTCGGGGTAGTTTTAAAATCGGAAACAACTGTGTTCAACGGTCGATCTCTGCATAGGATAGGTAAGGTCACACCCTTTGAACCTTCCCTCGTGAAGATACATTTACTCTACTGACTGTACGGTAGAACGCGATGTCTTTGAACCGACTGCCGTTTGTGTAGATGATGACATATCTCACACAGGAACCTCCCAACCATGCTTTGTTCTCATGACTCTGCCTATTTTGGTCGTGGGTCACCATTCCTGGTTCTGCAAGAGTTTGTGAAGAATTGTGCCCGTCAATTCTTCTTTGAAGCGACCCTCAGTTCTCTCTCACTTAGGTGATTCTTTTCCGAGTATCCCGCATACTCGCACATGTCAACCGACATTCGAATCACTAAAGCATTTAACAAGCTAACCTTGTGCGGGAGCCACTATTTCTAACGAGGAGTGGTAGGGAATCCGAGACCCCCACAGTGACACGCTCCGTTCCTTAATTTAGTTGTCTCACTGAACCTAGGTGCCAGCTAGGTTGGGTGTCCACTATAGAACTTTATACCAAGGGCTTTAGACCCATTCCTCGTCTCAACTTCTCCACATCCACTGTACATAACCCTTTGGTTAGCGGATCCGCTATATTGTCTTTTGACTTTACGTAGTCAATCGAGACAACACCAGTTGTGAGAAGTTGTCTAATGGTATTATGTTCGACGCACATGAACTGGCAGTTTCGGTTTTCAATTTTAATAAACTTTAAATATCGGGTTCTGGTTGTAAATTGTCATCATAACCTTTTTGTTTGGTTGGTATAGTGTACGTCTTTCGGTTTGAACCAAATCATGGTTATAATTTGATGGAGAAGAAGTATAAATGAAGTATTTATTTTAAGGGTAAATATGTCCATTTAACATATCAGGGGGGAAATCTACCACTTAAATAATTCAGGGGGAAAAATGCTATAAGTATATAACACAGGAAAACGTGTCATTTTCCCTTTAAACAATAATTTTAGTAGATGTCGCTTGTTTTTTTGTGGCAATTTTAAATTTAGTTCCGAATTAACGTTTTTGGCCATTTAACATCCTAGAGTATCATATTTTTGATACTTTTTGTCCTTCGGTTACTTTTCTGGTAAAATCCTATTTTATGCAAGGTTATTTTCATCTTTTCAATTTTTAAAATTATTTTCTCAATGAGTTAATTTCTGTGGAAGTCCTTTGTCTTTAGTGACAATTCCAAATATAGTCTCAGACAATTAGTTTGCCATTTAACAACGTAAACTATCATATTTTGGACACTTTTTGTCCTTTTGATAACTTTTTCCAATGAAATCCATTTTTTAGAAAAGGCATTTTCGTCTCTTCAATTTTTTTTTTAATTTATGATTTTCTGCATCGCTTTTCTGTTCAGATTTTCATCTCTTCAGCCGTGGATTACATCATCTCCTTCACTCGGCTTTTGTCCTCATCTCCTTCAACCCAGCCCAAATCGTCCTTCGTCATTGGTGATACCGATCTGAGTACCTGAGGACCTCCAAGTGCGAGAGGATCATTTGGTAATGTAGTTGGAAAGTTCAGGATATCGCCACCCAGTTGGCTACAATTTGACCAATATTGTTTTTGGCTATGATTCTGTGAATCATCTATTATAAATGTAGAGAAAAATAAAATGAGAAAAAAAGAAGAAGAAAGAAGCCTCTTCTTTGTTATCGGAAAATACTTTTTCCTAAATTAAAATACGGTTTCACATGAAAACCATATCGAAAGTACCAAAATTGTTCAAAATACGATAGTCTGGGTGTTGAGTGGTAAAAACTATTATCTGGGATTAAATTTGGAATTTCCACCAAAAACAAGAAACCTCCACCGGAATTAAATCATTGGGAAGATAATAAAAAATTTTGAAGAGACGAAAATATCCTTAAAATATGGTTTCATCGGAAAGATAAAAATTATCCAAAATATAATAGTCTGGCTGTTAAATGACTAGAATAATATCAAGGACTGAATTTAGATTTACTACCAAAGATAAGAAACATCAGTTGAAATTAACTCATCATAATAATTTATCACTAACTTATATACCAAGGGTTACTTTTTTTGAAAGCCAACAGAATCAGATTGCATTAGCCATATCAGGCTCAAGAAAGGGAGGAGGAACATCCCTCCATAGTGACCGTGCCAATGTGGCACTTACATGGTTAGCCATAACGCGGGCCGCCTGTATAGCGTCCCTTCGTACATGTTTCACCACCGAACTTGTCATAGTGGATAGTAAGTGTTTACAAGAAAGCAAAACATATCCAAGATAATAAGTACGAAAAGAATTAGCATGGCTAAGACTAGAAACTAAAATCGAGCTATCCGTGTAAACTGTGATCAAAGAGTAGCCATTATCCCTTAACCACGAAAGAGCCTCACACATTGCTAACGCTTCCGCCAATAGGGGGTCATATGGGCAATTAATTAGTCCATTCATTGCCGCCACAAAAGAACTATCTGTCTCCTGCACAATAATTAAAACCATAAGCCGGTGCATGACTCGGTCCGTGGAAGCCTGCATCAACCCGGCAGATTACACCAGTTGCCAGTGGAAGGAATGGATTCGGTGATGGGGCAGCATGTTGTACACGGGGGTACTGCGCTGCTATTCGTTCGCCATCCACGTCGCCCACCTAGCCGAGAACCGACGTAACAACACACACGGTATCGACAGACGGCCTTCCCATACCGCCTCATTCCTAGCAGCCCAAATATCATATAGCAATCCGCAGATCCTCCCCTGTGTTTCTCTACTGTAGCTGGCCGAGACACCAAACCACATCTCCGTCCATTGCACAAAATTCCTGCCGTTAAAAGAGGGGATAGGTAGTTGAGATATGATCCATACATGTGTAGCAAAATTCCAAGAACATAAAATATGCATGACATTCTCCTCATCCATTCCACATGACGGGCAAATATTAATAAGTTCCACCCACCAAGGGTTACTTTTAAGTGTGTAAAGTCCATGC